TAAGTAAAGGCAAAAAATAAAATCAACTATCCACAAAAACAGTCAAAGGAAACTCAACAACGTACATAATAAAACATCTAATATATAAAGATTGGAGGAGGAAGAATGAGAGAGAAATGAATCATCAGACTGTGTTTATAATAGCTTAATAAGAGACTTAAGTTAGAGAGATACTAAAGAAGCTACTCTTGAACCTTTGGTAACCATGAATCCAAAGCCTCCAATGGCAGGAACTACATATCTATCGATAATCACCCTAAATGTAAATGGGCTGAATGCACCAATCAAAAGACACAGAGTAATAGAATGGAAAAAAAAGCAAGTCTAAAGTCACAATTATATGCTGCTTACAAGAGACCTCAAACCCAAAGATATGCACAGACTAATAGTGAAGGGATGGAAAAAGATATTTCATGGAAACAATAGGGAGAAAAAAGCAGGTGTTGCAGTACTTGTATCAGACAAATAGACTTCAAAACAAAGAAAGTAACAATAGATAAAGAAGGAGATTACATAATGATAAAGGGATCATTCCAACGAGATGATATAACCATTATAAATATCTATGCACCAAATACAGGAGCACCAACATATGTGAAACAAATACCAACAGAATTAAAGGAGGAAATAGAATGCAATGCATTCATTTTAGGACAACATACCACTTCAAAGGACAGATCACCCAGACAGAAAATAAGTAAGGGCACAGAGGCATTCAACAACACACTAGAACAGATGGACCTAACAGACATCTACAGAATTGTACACCCAAAAGCGGCAGGATACACATTCTTCTCAAGTGCACATGGAACATTTTCCAGAACAGACCACATACTAGGCCACAAAAAGAACCTCAGTAAATTCAAAAAGATTGAAATTCTACCAACCAGCTTCTCAGATCACAAAGGTATAAAACTAGAAATAAATTGTACAAAGAAAACAAAAAGGCTCACAAACACATGGAGGCTTAACAACATGCTCCTAAATAATCAGTGGATCAATGACCAGATTAAAATGGAGATCAAGCAATATATGGAGACAAACGACAGCAACAGCACAAAGCCCCAACTCTGTGGGATGCAGTGAAGGCAGTTCTAAGAGGAAAGTATATAGCAGTCCAGGCCTATTTAAAGAAGGAAGAACACCCAAAGTCACAATTATTGAAACTGGAAAAAGAAGAACAAATGATGCCCAAAGTCAGCAGAAGGAGGGACATAATAAAGATCAGAGAAGAAATAAGTAAAATTGAGAAGAATAAAACAATAGAAAAAAATCAATGAAATCAAGAGCTGGTTCTTTGAGAAAATAAACAAAATAGATAAACCCCTAGCCAGACTTATTAAGAGAAAAAGAGAATCTACACACAAACAGAATCAGAAATGAGAAAGGAAAAATCACTGGACCCCACAGAAATATGAAGAATTATTAGAGAATACTATGAAAACCTATATGCTAACAAGCTGGAAAACCTAGAAGAAATGGACAACTTCCTAGAAAAATACAACCTTCCAAGACTGACCAGGGAAGAAACAGAAAATCTGAACAGACCAATTATCAGCAATGAAATTGAATCGGTAATGAAAAACCTACCCAAGAACAAAACCCCCGGGCCAGATGGATTCACCACTGAATTTTATCAGGCATACAGAGAAAACATAATACCCATTCTCCATTAAGTGTTCCAGAAAATAGAAGAGGAGCGAATACTTCCAAACTCATTCTATGAAGCCAGCATCATTCTAATACCAAAACCAGGCAAAGACCCCACCAAAAAAAATTACAGACCAATATCCCTGATGAATGTAGATGCAAAAATACTCAACAAAATATTAGCAAACTGAATTAAAAAATACATCAAGAGGATCATACACCATGATCAAGTGGGATTCATTTCAGGGATGCAAGGATGGTACAACATTTGAAAATCCATCAACATCATCCACCACACCAACAAAAAGAAGGACAAAAACCACATGATCATCTCCATAGATGCTGAAAAAGCATTCGACAAAATTCAGCATCCATTCATGATAAAAACTCAACAAAATGAGTACAGAGGGCAAGTACCTCAACATAATAAAGGTCATATATGACAAACCCACAGCCAACATTATACTTAACAGCGAGAAGCTGACAGCTTTTCACCTAAGATTGGGAACAAGACAGGGATGCCCACTCGCCCCACTGTTATTCAGCATAGTGCTGGAGGTCCTAGCCATGGCAATCAGACAAAACAAAGAAGTACAAGGCATCCAGATTGATAAAGAAGAAGTCAAACTGTCACTATTTGCAGATGACATGATACTGTACATAAAAAACCCTGAAGACTCCACCCAAAACTACTAGAACTAATATCTGAATTCAGCAAAGTTGCAGGGTACAAAATACACACAAATCTGTGGCTTTCCTATACACTAACGATGAACTAACAGAAAGAGAAATCAGGAAAACAATTCTATTCACAATTGCATCAAAAAGAATAAAATACCTCAGAATAAACCTAACCAAGGAAGTGAAAGACCTATACCCTGAAAACTATAAGACACTCTTAAGAGAAATTAAAGAGGACACTAACATGGAAACTCATCCCATGCTCATGGATAGGAAGAATTAATATTGTCAAAATGGCCATCCTGCCTAAAGCAATCTACAGATTCAGTGCAATTCCTATCAAAACACCAACAGCATTCTTCAACGAACTGGAACAAATAGTTCTAAAATTCATATGGAACCACAAAAGACCCCGAATAGCCAAAACAACCCTGAGAAGGAAGAGTAAAGCAGGGGGGATCTCGCTTCCCAATTTCGAGCTCTACTACAAAGCCACAGTAATCAAGACAGTTTGTTACTGGCACAAGAACAGACCCACAGACCAGTAGAACAGAATAGAGAGGTATTAACCCAAACATATACAGTCAATTAATATACGATAAAGGAGCCATGGACATACAATGGGGAGATGACAACCTCTTCAACAGCTGGTATTGGCAAAACTGGACAGCTGCATGTAAGAGAATGAAACTGGATCATTGTCTAACCCCATACACAAAAGTAAATTCTAAATGGACCAAAGACCTGAATGTAAGTCATGAAACCATAAAGCTCTTAGAAAAAAACATAGGCAAAAATTTCTTGGACATTAACATGAGCAACTTCTTCATGAACATATCTCCCCGGGCAAGGGAAACTAAAGCAAAAATGAACAAGTGGGACTATATCAAGCTGAAAAGCTTCTGTACAGCAAAGGACACCATCAATAGAACAAAAAGACATCCTACAGTATGAGAGAATATATTCATAAATGACATATCCGTAAAGGGTTGACATCCAAAATATATAAAGAGCTCACGCACCTCAACAAACAAAAAGCAAATAATCCAATTAAAAAATGGGCAAAGGAGCTGAACAGACACTTCTCCAAAGAAGAAATTCAGATGGCCAGCAGGCCCATGAAAAGATGCTCCACGTCACTAGTCATCAGAGAAATGCAGATCAAAAGCACAATGAGATATCACCTCACACCAGTAAGGATGCCCACCATCCAAAAGACAAACAACAACAAATGTTGGCAAGGATGTGGAGAAAGGGGAACCCTCCTGCACTGTGGGTGGAAATGTAAATTAGTTCAACCATTGTGTAAAGCAGTATAGAGGTTCCTCAAAAAACTCAAAACAGAAATACCATTTGACCTAGGAATTTCACACCTAGGAATTTACCCTAAGAATGCAGCACTCCAGTTTGAAAAAGACATATGCACCCCTATGTTTATCGCAGCACTATTCACAATAGCCAAGAAATGGAAGCAACCTAAGTGTCCATCAGTAGATGAATGGATAAAGAAGATGTGGTGCATATACACAATGGAATATTATTCAGCCATAAGAAGAAACAAAACCTACCATTTGCAACGACATGGGTGGAGCTAGAGGGTATTATGCTCAGTGAAATAAGCCAGGCAGAAAAAGGCGAGTCTCATATGATTTTGCTCATCTGTGGAGTATATGAACAAAGAAAAAAACTGAAGGAACAAAACAGCAGCAGACTCGCAGAACTCGAGAATGGACTAACAGTTACCAAAGGGAAAGGGACTTGGGGGGATGGGTGGAAAAGGAGGGATAAGGGGGAAAAAAGGGGTCAGTACTATTAGCAGACATAATGTGGGGGGGGGCACAGGGAGAGCTGCACAACAGAGAAGACAAGTAGTGACTCTATAGCATCTCACTATGCTGACAGACAGTGACTGTAATGGGGTATGTGGTGGGGACTTGATGATGGGGGGAGTCTAGTAACCGTAATGTTACTCATGTAATTGTAGATTAATGATACCAAAGTAAAAATAAATAAAAAATAAAACACCTCAACACCCCACACACAAAAAGAGGAGCATCTTTGCCTAAAGATGAGGAGGAACGTCTGCATTTAAAACATCAGGTGAAGATTACAACACTTCCTAACATTTGTCAGTGTGTGCTGTCTTTAATCTAGTGGGTGTGTGCATAATTTAATTTTTTCTTAAACAGTGTTGGGAAAGGGGCATAGTTTTACCTCTCAGGTTTTGTTGACCTTTGGGTTGTGTGCCTATCTTTTACCCTTTTTGCCCTTTGACTTACCATTTGTATTAAACTGGCCAAAATAAAGCCCAAGTATAGTTTGCGTATCGGGGTAATGTGTAAAAGTTTTTCTTACAAAAATTCAGAGCACCTGGCAGCAGGTCTAACACACAGGATGTTCACTGAGGGACAGGGGTTAGCTGGGGTAGTGGGCAGGTAAATGGGTATGTTTGCATTGTGCTGAGTTTGGGTGAACATACTTACATAGTCCTTGCATTTTAGCTGTTGACCTAAGGCTCTTAATTGAAGATGTCTTGCGTCTTGCACAGACTGTGCAACCCCAACCACCACCACTTGTTGGTGTTTACAGTTATTGATGTTCTGTAGGGTCCCATCACCCTATGGACACATAGTCAGGATAAATTGCCAGCTCTGTCCCTTTCTCTACAGGTACCAAAGGCTTGGAATGTTCTCCTTCCACTCCCACCATGAACTCCTACTTCTACAAGTTCATGATCAACCTACTCAAGAGGTTCAGCAGTGAGCGTAAGCTCCTGGAGGCCAGAGGCGCTTTCATCATCAGGTCAGCCGCGGCGCGCCGTCTCTTCCCCACCCAGCCCTGGTTTCCATTCAGCTCCATGGTGGGGCTTCGGAGCAACCATTTTCTCTTGCATTCCTCCTCCTTTTCTTGACCTTTTGTGTTTGTTCTTAAGAGAAACGGACGGTTTCCCCTTCACACCAGGGTGTGCTGGTGTGACCAGCACAAGGCAGGTTAGTGTCACCATTTTTCAAACAAACGAGTTAGTCTTTTACTTGTTAAGACGCTGTTTTCCCCTGAGGTTAAATATCCTCTGATCAGCTATTGTTGTCAGAGTCTTGGGAGAGAAGCAGACGAGCCGAGTGGAACATAAAATGGGGCTGCACTCAGAGCCGGCCACCAGCGTGGGCCTCGGCCAGGAATCGGGGGTGCCAGTGGCTCTGGCACAGCTGGGCTCTTGAGTCCTGTGAGCCTCGCCCTGGACAGCCCAAGGGCCCAGCACCAGCCCCTCGAGGCCCCCAGAACTGTCACCACCAGCAGGTCTGGCCCTGCCTGCTGCTCTGCTCCATGGACCAGTATCACCAGAAGAGCGGCCTTCAGGCCACCAAAACCTAGATGGGGCACAGACCCCTCCAGGCTCCCCAACAAAGCCAGGCAGAGAAGTTTTCCGGGATAGCCTGAGTGACTCCAGATGCTTCCCGGCAGTGGTTCTCAGCCCTGGCTGCGTGTTAGGTCACTGAGGGTTTTCACCCCGACCGGTGGAATCTCCAGGGCAATGAGGGTTAGGAAAGCCATCCAGGGTGCTGGGGAGCAGGCATGGCCACTGTGGTCCCAGGAGTCAGGAGCACCCCTAAGACCATCTCGGGGGTCTGAGAATTGAAAGAGGATTCCTGGCAGAGGGTCCATCCTGTACAGAGGCTTCAAGAAGGAAAGAGCATGGACAGCTCATTTTGCTGCAGACCAAGAAAGGCTCAGCTTTGTGGGCCACACCAAGGATTGGGGCCTTCCCCAGAGGTCAGGGGAAGCCACCAGAAGGGTTTGGGTAGGGTAGTGGTGTGATCAAACTTCTGCTTTTAAAGATTACTGTGTGCTGGGGGAGAATGGACGGAGGGGGGCAAGATGGACATGCGAGAGACCAGTTAAAAGGCTGTTTTCCCTATTAGAGATGGTGGCAGCTTAGTAGGGAGATGGAAAGAACAGCAGAATCCAAGAATTATTAGGATGTGTAATTTGATTGGTGATTGATTGCATGAGGGAGTAAGGGGGGGAGGTTGGGAATGACACCCTGGACCTGGGACGTGAGCAGCAGAGTGGGCGGTGGTAGCGGTCCCTGAGATGGGGGCCCTGGCGGAGGAGCCGGGAGGGAAGAGTCCGTGTTTGAGTTTAAATTGCCTTGGGGACATCAAAGAGATGGTGAAGAAGCAGTTTGCTAGACCCACCTCTCAAAAGAGGGATGCAGGCCTGAGATACAAATCTGGACATTGATGGCAGAGTCATTCATTCATTCAACAGTTATTACTGAGTACTGACTCTGAGGTGCTCTTCTAGATAGTTCTGTCCTTGTGGAGCTTTCATTCTTAGAACAGTCAGTGGCAAGAGCGGCAGAGAGGGAAGGGAAGGGGCCTGAGGCCAAGTCCTAAGGAGCTCCAGTGGGTAATGGTTGAGGGAGAAAGGAAGGCTGAGCAGAAGGGCCTGAAGGGCAGGAAGAAGCAGAGGAAAGGTGGGGAGGCAGGAGGCAGTGAGGGGAAATGAGGCCCCAAGAGAATCCACAGGAGCCATGGCAGGAGGCTGCCCAGCCACGGGGCGAGCTGAAATAGTGGGAGAAAGGAGATGGAGGGCGCAGGCCCAGACAGCTTCACCCAGATCTGTCTGCCGGACAAGGAGAGCCCCGGGGCCTAGCTTGAGGGCCAAGGGTGCCTTGAGAAAGGACTGAGTCCCAGGAGGGTAAAGGCCTGCCTGGCCAGGACAAATAGCGGGACCGCAGTTGGGAGGAAGGGAATTCTGATGGTCTAGACTACCAAAGGTGTCCCTGCAGCGGTGGGAGGATGTCAGCACCCTCTTGCTTTTCCGAGCCCTCACAGAGCAGGGTTTCTCAGCCTGGGCACTGGTGGCATCTGGCAATAGGCAGGCCTTTGTGGTGGGCGCTGTCCTGTGCACTGTTGGTTGTGGGGCAGCACCCTGGCCACTACCCAGTAGATGTCAGTAGCACACACACACCCGACACACCCAGCTGGGACAATCAAAAATGTCTCCACACATTGCCAAATGTCCTCCCAGAAGCAAAATCATTCCGGGTGAAAACCACCATTACAGAGGGACAGAAATGGGTTCTTAACCTCACTGGCCAAAAGAAGATTCCATGGTTTGCTTCACACTGAGTTGGACAAGTCATTCAAGGATTGAAGTAAAGATTAGAAGTGATATGAGAGATGTCCCCACACCAGTAAAATGGGCTACTCCCACATGAGTGACAGTTAACTTTATGTGGTTTTCCAGATTGCAGGGGTGTCGGCTCTCTTGACGAGTCCACCCTGCCTGGAAGACTTTCAGGGAAGCAGCGGAGAGACAGGCCTTTAACAAAGGAATTTGTAGTTAGTCTCCTCTCCAGAGAGCCAGGCTCTAATGGGTTTTTTCATCCTCTATCAGCCTCACGTACCCTATCAGAGGCTTGGGGACGGGGAGCTCAGAGGAGTAAGCTGCGTTCCCAGACGCGCCAAGAAGTGGCAGGTGTGGGTGTCTCCCCCATCCCTCCCCAGGGCCCCAGGCTCCATGAAGCTGGTGGCCCTGCAGCCACTCCATGTTCCCATTTACAGCCTCTAGGGCAGTGGAGTTTTACTTGCTTTGCAGCATCTGCGGAGCTGGGCTACAGACCCCTGCCCTCTGCAGATTCCGCAGCCACCACTTTATCCCCTCTGTGAGAGCGCAGAGCCAGGGGCCTTGAAGGCCCTGCACAACCTGCGGGCCGAGACCACCTGGACCCAGCTCCTCCGAGGGTCCTCTGGGCCTGTGGGGTCCTCCCTCCTTGTATACCCAGCATGGTGGTCGCTCGCTGTTCCAGGGCTCACACCCCTCGTGGACCACTCTGGGGCCTCAGTGGCCATCAAGCCTGGCCTCTGCTCCACTCCAGACCGCCCTCCTGCCCGCCTCCTAGCCCTTGGCATGAGCACAGAGAACCAGTGGGCTGGGACAGAAGACAGCTGTGGCAGGGCCCCCATACACATCCTTTACTGTGTTTGTTCAGCTTGCCATCTCACCAGAAGCAGCCCTGGCACTTGTCTTTACATGTTACGGCGATAGCCACCTCGCCAGCTTCCTCTGGGCCACACCGGACTGTGGACCTGCTGCCTGCCGAGCCAGCACACCAGGTTACTGCCGACCAGCCCAGGTCACAGTCCAGCCACCCAGTCTAGGGTCTCAGGGCGCACACAGCAGTGTCGAATGTGGGGGGGTGGGGGGGCCTTGGAGACTTGAGCTTTCCTCTTCCTTCCCGGGGCCCGAGGGGGCTGAGGCGCTTCAGCAGAGGTCTTCTGGGGAGCAGCCCTCAGCATTGTCAGCCTGCTTCTCATTTCATTTACTCATTTTCTGCTGACAGCTTTAAAGAGGAGCATAACATACATGCAGACTGCTGAGACGAAGCCACAGGCCTGATAAAAAAACACAGTAAATGATTTAACCCTCTCCTTCAAGTATAACACGTGCTGTCCATACAGGACAAAGGCATCTGGAAGTTCCTGAAGAGGCTAACCTCTGGCAGCGGGTCTTGGTGTTGAGGGATATGCATGATTTCCTCCCCCGCACACCCTTCCCAGGCTGTACCTCCCTGGGGGTGGGAGTGAGCCCCTGTACTCCAGCCCGGTCCCAGGAGGCAGGGGGGTGGACAGCCTGCGTCCAACTGGCCTTGGTGTCTGGTAGAACAGTGGAGGTGTGTGTTGAGGTCAGGAAAGCCAATGGCCCCAAACCTCATCCCAGCCGGACTCGCAGCAACCTGCTCTGGCCCAGGCCCTTCACTGCATGGCCGTCGAGGCCATACCCGCATACGGAGGGAAGAGGAGGACATGGGCAGAGGCTGCGATGGGGCTGGTGCCGAGCACCCCCCAGCCTACCCACACCCACAGCACCTCCTCAGGACTGTACAGGAGGCAGGTAGAAGGCCCCCCACAGGCCCTTGGGGCCAGACTAAAACTGGAGCCTCTGCAGGCAGACACACTTGGGTTCGAATCCCAGTTCCTCCAGTTTTTAGCCGCCTGACCTGTTTCCATCCTCTCTTGCTTCTACTGTAAGATGAAGATAATAGCGCCTTGGCGTTTGCGGAGAGGGTTACATAAGACTGAGCGTTACAGCTCTCAGCGCAGCTTGGCAAAGGGGAGCCGCTGTTCCGCCTCGTGATGCAGCCTCGGCCTCCCACGGTGGTCTGTGGGGAGGGGAAATCAGACTCAAGAGGGAGAATAATTGAAGCTTCTGTGCGGAGAGCTGGCTCCAGGGGCTGGGCCCACAGCCCCAGCGCCCAGGGCACACAGCAGCAGCCCAGCCCCGACCCCACTAAAACAACTCTGCCCAGAGTAGGTGTTCGTGTACATTCCCTCCCCGGCCCCTCCCACCCTCCGGCCAGCGCTGGCGGAACAAGCACAGCGCTTGTTTTCCCATGAACTAGTCCACTTATTCTCGGTAGAAAAGGAAAGGAGGGAGAAAACGCAGCCTCTTTGATAAACTATGATATGAACCCCAGCATCGTCCAGCAGCTGTGATCTGTACAAGGCCTGCTTCTGTGCCAGGAAGCGAGCGAGTCTGAGGATGCTCCTCTCTGCCGGCCGAGGTGGCCGTCCAGCCCAGGGTCCTTTGGCTTAATCAACTGTGCCTCTCCCCCGCCTCTTCCTGCTGCCTTGCAAAGAGGACTCGCCAGAGAGGGCTTTCCTTTTAACAAGTGCCTGTGCTGTGAGCCCCATGGCTCCAACCCCAGCCAGCCCTGTTGGTGGCTGTGGTCCCGAGCACCCTCCCATGGGAAATGAGTTGCCCCTAAGGTGAGGTGGGCTCTTGAAGAGGTTGGG